ATCTTTTCCCTGCTGATGTTCACTTATTTTGTAATCTCATAGAGCAGGAGTGCTAGGCTACAGTCAGAACACGAAATGTCATGGGCAGACATCACAGACAAAAAGGGGCTCCTAATCCTTTCTACGTAGTAATCTGTCAGAGTCAGATTTTGTAGATGGTGCTGTTACAGGAAAACCCTGGCTGAGATTAGAGAGACCCAAAACTTCTGTAAGGAACTTTAAATCTCAAAGATTAAAAAAAACTGTTGGAATATTTTTCTTCCCTCAGGCTTCAAGAGGCTTATGAGTGTTTGAAGTCAAGCAAAATTCATATTTAGCACTGAGCAAAGCAAAACAGTTATTTCAACCAAGCTATGTTTTGGCATTGGTCAAACCCCAAGCTCACAGCAGCGATGCTGGATGCCATGCCACAGCTATTGAAACAATCCCAGAATTAATGGAGCTCTGTGTGAACTGACACATCTACATTTTCCTCAGCTCTGTCTGAGACTTTCATCTACAGCAGCGTTTCTTTTCTTAAAGCTACCCTCTTCAGTCAGTTTTGATTTCAGGAGTGTATTCAGCCTTTATTTTATGCATCTTTATCTCAGCTGCTCACCCTTAGCTTCCTTTACAGTCAGTAAAGACTAACAGGCACTTCCAAGGTGCAGTTCAGACTGTTTTAGATGCTTACGTTAGGCTGAGGTCAATCATGCCCAAGACTTGCTCTTAATATATAAGGAGGCCAACTCAGAGGCAGAAGCCCACACTGTAAAAATTTGTGTCAGATGAATCCTGCTCCATTTCATTATCAAGAAAGTCTACATAGTTGGAAGAATTTCAAGATGATGTAACATGTTTTGATACATAATCCATCACATCTGAAAATCTCTCCTTCCTTACAAGTCTAAAGGAAATATTGATGGTTGTTTATCTTAACACGGTGCAAAGCAATTGGTTTGCTTGTTTCTAATTATTCAGATCTGAATTATTAGCAAAGCAAATTTCTGCCTGTTGAATCCAAATGTAATCGATGCACCAGAAAGCTTCTGCTCTAAGTTCCATTCCTATGATTACCTTTGCTTCCTAAAATCATCATGAAGATTATAGTGGCCTTTGAAAGGAAGAATTCATGCAAAGCAACCCCCAGTGCTTTTTAAGACAAAGGCCAAGGGCAACCTCAGAAAAAAACGAGGTTAAGATTCAACTGGCTGGCACAGACTGGGGTTTAGTTTTGGTTATGAGATGAGAAGAAAGGGCAGGACTTGTTTACTGAGTCTGCCCCTTGGTTTAAGCAGCAACATGACAAGTTATGCAAAGGGAACCAGTTTATTCTCATATAGATGCAGGTTGGAAGAGTTCATCTGAGATGTTTTGGTCTTGGAGGGAAGGATGGGAGGGACAGAAAGGTTACGGGTCCTGACTTCATAAACGCCTCTTTGGCTGGTTAATGGAGCGGCAGAAGTGCTTGGCACAGAGGCAGCGGAGAGCTTCACCTTCTCAGCTGGAGGAGCCGCCCACGGTCACTGCCATCACGAAGCACAGTGGCTTATTAAAGGAATAAAGACAAAATTGTACTTGATTTCCAGAACAGAGGGGCAGGAAATCCTCCTGACCCTGTCAGGGCTTTACTGATCTTAATGGGTCTGCCACAGAGAAAAACTCTGCTTGAACAGCGGAGGGGTGCTGCTCCTGAGGGACGAGTTCAAAAACACCAGCTCAGAAACATTAATAAAAACATTGCCCACTGTTTCTTCATCAGAGCTTAAAAGAAACAGCATACTGCAGAGCACACTGGCAAAATCTGTACGCTTATACGTAAAATACACATATGCTCATTTCTGTAAACTAGTAACTGAGAGTTTCTTGGAGAATGGATGAATTTGTTGAGAAAACCAGTTTCTGGCATAGGTAGACCCCATAAAGAGGGCTTAATGCTTATTTCTAATCTCCTGGAAGATTGTACAAATGAACAAAATGAGGTTAATCACCAAGGAAAATCGCCAATGAAGTAACACATCTTTTGTTAAATATTAATTATATTTAATTTTTCCCTGTCACAGAATTTACAAGGTTCTCATGAATCAAGGATTAATTTGGAGGTTTTTATTTATCCTCTGCTGTGAACGGATCACTTCTCAGTGAAGAGTGAATGAATTTATTTTGTATCAGCTTTCTGCTTGAAAAGAAAATCCTTCCTAAAAGAACAGGCAATCTTTGCCAGAGAAATCCAGACCGAGTGAAACATTTCGTTGTTTGGGCCGTTACATCCTAATGAGTTCTGCATCTAAGCGCTTGTGATTTTTTTTCCACCTGACCCAGCAGTAGCATAGGAGTTTATGCACTTAAATGTATGAGACTTGTTTGGGAGGAAGATGTGTATTAAAGGAAGGCAGCATGTTCCATAGTTTTAGTATAACATCTGGTATTTTCATTCAGAGCTGCCCTTAGCCCAGCATGCCCTTCCTCTAAATATCTTATTAATTAAACTGGCTTAGCAGGAAAATAATTAATACTTTAAGTCCTGTACCTACTTAGAAAGGATTTGGAAACTGAAAAAATTGTTTTAGTCTGAGCTTCAAACTGCAGGTTTGGGGGTTTTTTTTCATTCTTGAGCAGAAGCGGATTACAACTAAAAGGGAGTATCTGAAAAACCAATGTCTTCCAAAAATATATTCTATCTTCGAAATTCTGCTAGACTGCAAAAATAGTCCATGACTTTGAGAAGTCTGGATCAATACTTGAGTGTCTTGCCCAGCAATTGTTTTGGGAAAGGCGCTCCTGCGCTTCTTCAAAATGTCCTGCTAGCCCTCTATAGCAGTCGGTCCCCTGAAAGCCTTAACTCCAATCCACAAAATTACCATGTTTCTTACCACTACTTTAATAATGTGATGAGGCTTCTAGCCATGAAATCAGTAGTAACGCTGCTACCTTGCATAGCCAGCTGTTGAATAGGCAGAAGGGTGAGATGGTGAACCAGGGTGAGTGCCAGTGAATTTGTATGTAAAATGTGGATCTGTTACTTGGCTATTTAAGGTAAAGTACAGAAATAGCGGTATTTGCCCGTGTCTTTGTTTTGTGAGCAGTGCTGCTGTGGATATGCAGAAACTGATGCTTTGCTGCTGTTACACCCAACTTGATTTCCCACTTGAAGAACAAGCTCAGACAGACTGGGTGCTGTTTGCTGCTTACACTAACAGAAAATTACACTTTCCCAGACCTATTGGAAAAGGTGTTGGGTGCCACCAAATTGCTCTGTAAAGTCAGTCAGGGTTTTAACAATTTCTTTGGTGAGAGAAGGCTTGGGAGTTATCTGTAGCTTGTTTTGGCTTTTTTTGGAGGGGCTGAGGGCAGCTATTCTTAAGGAGGATGGGGAAAAAGCTTTAAATAATGTACCAGAACAAGGCCTCTTCAAGGCAGGGAAAAGGCAGGTTGGGGAGCAGTCTGCAACTTGACTCCGCAGTCTGATTGTTGTGTATGTCTTTTCAAAAGCATGTTAGAAACTTAGAAATCAAAGTTTCATTGGAAGTCAGTGAGGTGCCTAAAGGGCTTCTTCAGATGGGGCTAAAGCACTCTGGAAAATGCTGTGGCTGTTACGTTAACAGCCTCAAAAATAAAACTGTACTGTGTGGCTGGCTAATGGGTATGGGGTCTTAAGCCTCAGCAAAGGGACCTGCCATTAATTCTGATCGACGCTGAAGTTCAGAGGGTGTGTTTAGGGGAGACCAGGGTTTTTATTAGCTACTGGCTGTACCTCCTGACCTTCTTTGTCCTGAAGAATACATGTTCAAAACTGATTTTAAAAATGGGGAAACCTAAATTTATGCTATGGAAAAGAGGGAAGCAGAGCTGGCCTTGTTCATACTAAGCCGTATGTATCTGACAGAAAATAAGTTGTAATGAGTGCAGTGTGTCAGTATAAGCATGGCTAATTCACCAAGTATACTGTGCCCCTGCGGGAACAGCCAACATGCAGCAGTGCCAGAAAAGGTTACACCCTCATGTTTTCAGGGAGGGAGAGAGGGTTTCGGAGCCTCTTTTTGCTTTAAATCTGCCTTGAGCAGACCGGAGATGCTAAGTCCCAGTTCATTTGCGTGTGCGTGCATCTGCGCTGGGTCTGATAGGGGAGCATATGGCAGAAGCAATTCGCCCTTGACTGTGCCTCTTTTTTGGCAGGCACAGGCTTGTTTCTCGCAGGGCGCGCACAGTCGCAGCCAGGCCTGCACATCACTTCTTGTGCCCCTTGCTTGCTGGCTATCAGCTCTTTGCCTGAATGCATGTCCTTTGTGGTGTTTTGGTTAATTGGACATTGTTTTAATTACTGCTGAACTAAACAAACATTAAATTACTCTCTGTCATTTTGCCACCCCAGTGACCACAGTCTCCAAGCAGGCAATGCAGAACTCGGGCTGTTCAGACCTGGTGTAAATTGCAGTGGCTCTCATGGAGTTGCCCTCATTTACACCTTTTGGGGGGAAAACACCTCTCCGGGGAGGAAAAGGCTCCATTAAACAGCTCTACTTTTGCGCTGTCCCAAATGCCTTGCTCTGCTATCGCTGGAGTTATTGGGAAACAAGCCGTGGCTTCAGGGCAGCAGAGGTGCCAGTCCTCTTCCATGGCCTGGAGAGAATCCATGGCCACGTCTTTCATTAGTGTGACCCTTGGTGTTGCCTCCTTTCTTACCTTCCCCCTCCAGTTTGTGCATTAATTGCCTTTTTCTCCCTTTTCTGTCTCTTAATTCTCCACAGCAATGCCTCGGTCATGTGTCAAAATTAAGCAATGGGAGCGCAGGCATGCCCTCAAATCGGTCAGTCTGTAGCCATTTCTGTCAATAACAGCCATGCTACAGCAGCAGGCAGATTCTCTGGACTGCCAGTAGCCTTTATTTTGAGATGCTAATTTGCCACTGACTTGAAGAGGAGAAAAAGCATTTTTTTAAATGCCTTAAAAGGCACAGAGCCTTTTATAAAAATCATTTCCCTTCTTTTCTATTTATGTTGACCCTTCTCCTTTGCTTACAGCTTTGGAAAGAAAAATATCAATGAGGCAAAGCAGAGAGGAGCTTATAAAACGAGGAGTGCTGAAAGAAATTTTTGATAAAGGTGAGTGTTCTTCTTTTCACAACATTAATTTGACATCCCATATAGTTTTATGGCCAGATACTACATTATTGTAACATTAAGAACTGGGAATACGGTCCCGAATTGCAGGACTGTGTGGAATAAGGTCTCCAAACATCTCTTTTGATTTCACTGTGGGCTGGCCCTCCCTGTTGGATACACGTGATAGTTATCTAGCAAATAAAACTGAAAGTTAATCAGAAATGTAAACCAGTAGAAACATAAACCACGGCAGTATGCAGGAGTCACTTGCTGCAAAACAGCGAGGCATCCAGACTGCGGGGAGATGGAGTGGGTCCGTGCCTGCATGTGTTATCATTGTCTGGTTGAGTCACTCTGGGATTAACCCTTGCGGAAAAGCGAAATATTTAAAGGTTTTGGATGCTGGCAAGCACAGAACAACAGTACACGTTCCCTTGAAACAGCTCAGAAGACATAATAATAACAATTCCTTGTTCAGGATAATTAATTTGTTGAGTTGGTAATGTATTATTTATGCAAAATGCCATTGTCTTACAAACACAATTGTTTTACATTAGTAATGTAACACATATTTGACATCTATTACGTACGTATCAATCTTTAACCGCAGCTTTTATTTGTTTTGCTGCTTCCCTTGTCAATAACTAAGGCAATGAATTCAGCAAATTATATAAAGACACGCCAGAGTTGCCTCTTAATTTCAGTAGAACTTATGCATGTGCTTTAAAGCCTCCTTAATTCAAAATCTAAAAGTCTTTAACAATACCGGTACAAAACCTGTTAGAAGTCAATAGTCAATAGAAGTTATAAACTTTCACAGATATTAGAAGTAGGGTCTACCTCATAAAGTCTGGAGCATTTAAATCTGCTACCTACTGTTTTAGTCTAGCTTATTGGGAACTTAAAAATTTACTAACCTGAACTGTTTATTTTTTTAAGTGAAAAAAGTAAAAAACATTGCAAAACCAAAGAAATATGCCGCTTGTCATTAAATTCTACAGTTGTTACCCGTTACGTGTTTTAGATGCTGCTAGTCCTTTAGATCTAACACTGCCTGTGCTCTCACTATGGCCTGCTGCCTTCGAAGCCATCCTAGATGCAACTTTAGGTTAGAAACAACACGTGGCAAAAGGTTTGCCCTTCTCGCTGCTTTGGCTTCTCCACATTTTGGAGTGTGAATCGGATCGGATACGCAGCCATGAGGCAGACATCCCCACGGCCAGCGAGGCGCAGTCCAGGCTGTCACACCAAGTGTGTCGCAGCCCGGGAGAGGCCAGGGCATAGCTCCCCGTTCAGTGCCCTGGCCGGCTCAGAAGTCAGCCTTCAGTCACGCTTCCACCCAGGCTGCGCCCTCCTTCATCCCTGCCTCATATCCCACACCTAGCTGCTTTCTGACCCACCCCTACGTACACCTAAAGGCATCCCCAGGGAAAATCTTTTCTGTGCAGCCTGACCCTGCCTTCCCCATTGAAACTTGGGGAGATTCCCCCTGCTTTGCTACCAAAGCGCTTCAGCTTTCTCCATTCGTCAAATAATGTAGTTTGTAATCTTCTATGTCATCTTGTGAAGCAGATGCTAAGCTGTCTGGAGGTCCTCATCTGAAAAAAGAAATTAATTCCTCTTTATAGTCATTTTTCACCTTTTCATATCAGAAAAAGCTGGTATGAAACACATGCTGCTTCTTCCTATTTCCAGTGCAAAAAGCAGAGACATCGGACTTTTTCACTGTCAGGTGCCACTAAAAGGGAAACTATAATGCAAAACAGCTGGACTTCTTGTTCAGTGTCCTACATTATTTCCTGCTGGTTGCAAACACAGGAAGGTAAGAATTGGTACCCCTCCTTGAAAGAAAGAGGTAGGGCAGAGAAGAAAGGGGTAATACACAAGTATAGTAGCAGTGATCAAGTAGCTTTGATGATATAAGGATATGAGTAAGGCAAGATTGTAGAGCAAAAGCAATCTTTCCTTCAGTGGTGTAATAATCCAAGAGTAATTCTGACAAAGGATATTATATCTCACTGCGAACCTTAAGTGGAAGTAACATTTCCCTTGTAATTCCTGTTATGTAATCTCTAATCCTTCAAGAAAACACGTCAGACTTTAGCACGTCATAGCAGAAGGCTTTATTTAATGATGGTAGCACCTTCCATGCCAAGAGGCATCTTGCACAGGCCATAGGTGTAGCCATAATGTTAAATCTCTTTTGTCTCCCTTTCCTAAGAGGAGGACAAAGCAGACAGAATCAGCCTGTGAGTGAGTAATTTTGCCTTTTTTAAAAATATCCATACAGATCAAAGGAAACTTAATATGGATAGACTGAGCCAGGAACAAAAATTCGGGAGCTTGCAGTGTGCTTAGTATTGGTTTTATCGTATCTTCTATGTTGCAGGAAAACAGAATTAGCGAGTTTGTTCACCTGCTGTATAAAATGATACTCTGACCTGTTTGCTTCAGGATTTGTTGGCTTTTCAGGGGACTTTGTCTTCCAGCAGGTGAAAGTTAGCAGAGTGCAGTAAGTCACAGTGTTCACACATGGGAGAGTCACTGCAGTCCAGCTGCTGTATTTGGGAAACAAGAAGTGCTTTTATCACTTCAGTGATCCCCACGTTTAAACTGGTCAAGTGAAACCACTCCAGACTGAACTGCAGAGAGCTCTTTTCTTGGCAAGGGCCAGACTCATGACGGAATCAGTTTCTGTCATCTTCCATTTCCAGCGTTCTGTGACTTGAGTCTTCTGAAAATGTAGGCAAAGGTTGTAATTTTTTCAAAATCTGTGTACTTTTGGAAAAATACTAAGAAGTATCTGATGAGGCACCTGCTGTTCTAATAGTTTGTGGCCAGGCAGTGCAGAGACGTTAAAAATACAGCTTCCACCTGCAACTCAGAACATACCACAGCATTTAGAAGAACTCACATTTTTTTGCTATGCTATTGCTCCCACACATAGATAAACAGCTTTGATTTTCACATGAGGGTGTAACCGTCCCAAACGCATCTGTCTTTAGAATTGCCCACTGTTCCATGGTGCCAGTCAAAGAATTAAATCTACTTGTAGTATTTTGATACCTCTTCTTTTACCTGAAGCTAGATGAGATTGCCTGTAGTGAGAAATTTCTGAATATGAGTGTGTACTGATTGCTTGCTTCAGAGACAATCATGCAATCGTTTTGCAAGGAAGCATGGGCAGTCTTAATCTTCTATACTTTTGTATTTTTGTACTCTCTATCTAATCAAAATGATGGATTTAGACCCAAATTTCAGGTTACCTAAATCCTGATGGGATTTGGGAGTGTTGCACTTATGTGCTAAGGCAGGTTTTGTCGTAGTATGTGAGCATAAGTTTGAAGAAGCGGCTTTGGTAGTGCAGCAAGGAGGAAGGCAAGGCAGCCACCGGAGAGCCAGTTGTGCTGCAGCTGCAATATGTTGAAAGGTTTTGAACTCCTACAGAAGCAGGGGGGACATGTCAGCCTTTCTCAGACTCCACCGTAGCCCGCAAAATCGGGGGTCTGCTTAGAGACTGAAGTCAAGGAGGATCCTAGCCGCTGTGCTAAGGTAGCCACCAAGTCTAGGAAACAGCCCTGTGGACAGGTCTTGACCACGTGCAGGAACACTCACTTTTCTATCCCCTAGCCCATGGGGGCCATGGCAGAGAAGGACATGAATTTTTCTCTGCCCTTCCTAGCCTTTGCCATCGAGAACGCTTGCCTGGACGGTCCTACTTGAGAACAGGCAAGTACTGAAGGAGACAACCCAAAGTGGAAAATAACTCAGGATTTCGAACTCTCCTCATCATTTTGACTTCCTTAGCCATTTGTCTATGGAAGGAGTGCATGAGCATGGCACTTTTCAGACACACAAGAAGTTCCTTAGTCCAAGGTGTTCAGAGTGAGAAGACACGGTGAGAGGGTAGGCAGAGCTCCGATGGAAAGAAATAGCAAAAGGACTGCTCTGTACCAGTCAGCATGATGCACTGTGGGCTGCTTCACACCAGGCAATTTTTTAAAAGTCCCTGAAAGTGGAAATGGCAGGTGAGTTCAGGAGGACAAACCATGGTTGAGACACATGTTTTGAACATCTGTGCATTTCTGGGCCTTCACCCCATGCTGTTATTTTCACATGCTAAGGTGAATCAAAGTAAGTGGGTAGAGTCCTGTGCATCAGAGTTTCCTCTGTTTCTTCAGTGACTTCAGGTGTGCAGAGCCTCCTGAGTAGCAGAAGAGCAGCCTTCATGTGCTGCTGTTGCTGCAGAGGTGAAGCTACTCTCTCTGGTCCTGTCCACATCCAGCTGATTGACACCCAGCCGACATTTTCAAAGCTCATGGATTTAGGGAAAGTCATTCTCCACTAAGTAGCAGCAGGCTCTGTGAAAACACAGCAAAGGATTTAGCAAGTGTGAGAACAAAAGATTACATATGTTACCGCTGTGCAAAATTAACTTCAAACTCATAACTGAAGACTAATCGATCCATCCATATGTATGTAATAATTGCATTACCAGGATTCTTTTCATTTTTATGCCAGCTAACCAGAAGAGCTTTTAGTACTTTAAAAGTAACAAGCAATTTGCCTCTTATGTCTGGTTATCAAGCATGTCTCTGATCCAGAATTAAATCACACTAAGATATTCTTCACTCTACAAATTATTTTGTCTGCATCTTTGATCTGTTTGCTGTACTTGAGCAGTTCCCCATGTAGCTCTTCTTTAAGCGAGATCTGAATTAGGGTGTATATTTCAGTCATGATTCTGTGTCATGTCCGATGATTTCAGTCAAATGCAAGGACAGGTTTCAGAGTCTAAATGAAGATAGGAGATAGTTAGAGGTAAGATTAAAAGAGGTTACGCTTTCAGTACAGAGAGCTGGCATGCTTGTTATTATGACAAAAAATAAAAGCCAAAATTTTACCTCACATTTTACTTTTTCACAAGCGTAAACCTTTAACGGCTCATTTGAATGCTGTCTTCTTAAGTCATGCTGAATATAGCTTGAGAAGTGCAAAGTGCAGTTAGGACAGTAAGATTTCAAGGTGCTCAGCATGTTACGATAGGCATCCCACTTCATTAAAAATGTGTAGACATCCCTCCAAAAATAAATGTTACTGGTTTTATCATGCATAAATTCTGTCTGCTCACAGTTACGGTCAAATTTAGTCCTGCACTGAATTAATGAATATTGCTCGACACAATTACTGCCTTTCATTCAAGAAACAGTTGCTCTGCAGAAGAAACAGTTACATTCTTTCATGAAAGCAGGTAACTGAGGCAACAGCAGCCCCTGTCCCAAACATGTGTAAAGGTGTGTGTTTATAAAAGGGAGACAGAGCAAGCACAGAATAGGTGGCATTTCCACCCGAACAGCTAAGTCGAAAAACATTCAGCTTAAACACTGGCTGAACTGTTGTTTGATTTTTGCTGCCTAGGGAAATAAATGGGTCTGTATTGAATGACCACAGCAGTTAGAAGGAGACTGTGCTGCAAACAATTGGCCAAAACCTTCAGTTTTGATTAATGTTGCCACCTTTTAACCAGCTCAGTTGATTGCTCTGAAAGCTGTGTGTCGGGTTTCAGTCTAGTATAATGTGGCTGTGTACCATAATAGCTCTCTAGGTCTTCAAAAAGCCTCCAACAAAAACAAGGAAGTCAAGACCTTGGTATTTCTAATAATTCCAAAATAAGCAGGAGACCGTCTTCACTCGCTGTAGAGAAGCTTTGGAAGGCAGAAGCATAATTCTGAATACTTATCAGCTAACATACTTGTTAATTACTGTGTCCTGAGGCTTAAGTGAGACTTAAATTTTTTTCTCTTTTCTGTAGTGTTTTCCAAAGCGTTTTGCACATCTTAGCCCTGTGAGAGGAAAATGCGCACTCACTTGAATGATGTACATCTCTTCGCGGTACATTGAGCAGTAATATGGCTAATCAGAGGTGCCCAAAAATCAAGAATCAGATCCTGAAAATCCTGAGTTTGACTTAAAAAAATAATTTAAATGCATAGTAAAATGAGGCTCCATTTATTTGCCTGCTGGTTTCTAGCCTTACAGGTCACATTCCAGTTATATTTTCAGGCTTCCACTCGTAACCACAGGGGCTGAACACTTTCCATTACAAAATTGTAATTGAGATATCCATGTAGTCATTGCCTCCAGGTACCAGAGTGCTGTGCATAACAAGTTCTGAGATAAAAATCATGTGGGTTGACAGCATAGAGAATGATCTGATCCGTCGCTTCTGTTCTTTATTATTTCTAATGTGAAGTGGCACTTGATAGGAAAGAAACTACCACTGCTGTTATAGAAATTTTGCTCAGATAGAGGAGATATTATTAATAACTTTAAAAACAGACTTTCTAAATGGAATCTGCTATAGCCCGGTATCAAGACAAGGTGACTGTAAAAATTTCTCTCTTACTTAAAATCTTGATGCTGGAAGCTGTAATATTTTTATTTGTGTGTAAAATAGGTACATACTTCTGTGATTTTGCTTGTGTCCCTTATAGCATAAAAACTGGTGTAAGGGAAGAGAATAAATCTTGTTACTAGTATTAAAATCTTATAAATTATATACTGTGTATATCAGTATTCTTTAAGAAGGCTCCATAGCTTCAGTTCCAGCCCATTCTCATTCCTGACTTCCCAGCTTCAACAGAGACAGAGGGAAAACAGATTTTGTGGCCCTGGATGGGACCACACAGCCCCATGGGTGGAGGATGGTCAGGAACCATCCAGCTTAGACCGTGGATCATAACGACCATCCTAGGGTAAGCAAAGGATCAACACAGATATTTGACATATCTTTCCCAAATCTTAATAACCCCTTAAGGCAAGTGGAATGCTGGCAGACTTCTGTGAAACTGTTGTGGACAGAACATCATAGTCAGACATCTCCAAAAAATGCTCTGCACAAGTTGTATTTTTGAGATACCATATTGTTTTGATCTTTATCCCTGTGTCTTCTGTATACATACAAGATCTCAGTTCAGGTTCCTCGTTTGCAAGCAAGCTAATAAAGATAGCAGATTTCATTTTAAATTCTTTCTGCACCTTATTTATGTGTCTTCTGTTGTCATTCTGCTTTCCTCCAACTATGAACAGATGGGGAACTTTCCATACCAAATGAAGAAGGAGCTTTGGAGAATGGGCAGCCTCTGGGCTCCGGGCAAGTGCTGAGCTCCAGCCAGGTATCCCTGCCAGCCCTAGCAGAACTGGAGTCAGGTCCAGTATCTGGGGAACCCTGCTCATACGAGGTGCTCCCAACCACAGAGATCATGGATGGGACAGGTAACATCTTGTTTACATTATGATGTAGATGCTGTTTGATGTAAGATGTAAGCTGTTTGAAACAAGTTTTTGACTTCTAACATTTGGTGTCTAGCCCTGAGAAATCGTTGTCAAAGACAAAGGTCTTCTGGTGGAGAAGGAGGTGACAGCATACAGATTGTCACTGGGTGCTCCATGAGACATTTTGACAGACTTGGCATAGAAGTAACCTCTACTTCTATACAAGTAACCTCTTTGTGAGTAAGGCAAAGTCCCTGCACTTTGTGAACATTTAAGAGTAGATTTCTAACTCTCTGGCTATGTCTCAGCTGTGCCAATGAGCTCTAGAGCAGAGAGTTGACAACATTTTTAAACCCTAGGGTACAACGTCATGCCCTTTAGCTGCCATGTGGTGTTGGGTGACATTCACAACACGCATCTTTCAGTAGCCAACGCCAGCTGCCCTACCCTAGGTGAGGCTCTCTGCACGTCTTTGCCAGCCCATGCAGAGAGACAGCAACGCTGTACATCTAGGCTAGCTCCTCTTTCTGCATAACTTAATGCTGAGAGTTGTGGACAAAGGTCAAGTGAGGAAAAGTGACTGGTAGAAGTGTTTATCCGTGATCCTGCACAGCTATGCGGCCTCTTTGAAATGGAGTAGGCCCCGTGAGGTGCTTTTGCATTTATAGGATAAGTTTAGAGACCACCTGCTAACATATCTGGTCCTGAGCAAGCTGTGGTGACAGACCGTCTGAGATGTGACATTTTAAGGCTCTTGATTTGTGTTCAAGATGTGGGAATACATTCCAGCCTGGCATAAGGGAGCTGGCTTCTGTCAGAGGTAATGGGAAATTCAGCTGTTGTGTAGATGTGTGTTACTCCTTCTCTTTCTCCTTTTCTCTCTCTTTCTCTCCTCCTTTCTATGTTATATGATGTTTGAGTGAAATCTATTAGTCGTTCTTAATCTGCATTGCTGCACTGCTTTTCTTGTCCTACTGCCGCTGTATCCGCTGCTGCTTTGCTCGTAACGTTGTTGCGTCTATGATGTGGTTGTGTCCTCCAGTGTCTGAAGAGAGCCCCACATCCAATGAATCCGGCGTCCTCCTGTCCCAAGATCCTACAGCTAAGCCAGTCCTGCTACTTCCCCCCAAAAAATCTGCCGCTTTCCCTGGAGACCATGAGGACACCCCAGTGAAACAGTTGTCCCTCCTCAAACAGCCCCCTGCCCTGCCTCCTAAACCTATTGCCAGGATTGCCAGCCACTTAACTGGTAAGTAGGTGTGCCTGGACCCTCAGCACCACCGTTTCCCTTATAGAAAAAACCTGCCCTTACAGCAAGCTTCTCAGTGTCCTTCCTCCTTCTGTAACGCTGTTTGCACATGTTGTTGTGTCTACTGGTAATGTATCTGTGTTGTACCTAGGGCAGGGATCACAAAGCATTTTCAGGCTACAGCTTCATTGAGGTTGCTTCAGGGCACTTCCCCTCGCAGCTGTAATTACCTAAGACCGCTGCTGCGTTTCCTAACCCTCCTCACCGTTCTTCATCAAGACTTACCATCACCACAAAAATTGCAGGATGTGCTTTGATGGGAAAGGAAGTATCAGGAAAATACTAGGATATCTTTAAATGCCTTTAATGAGAAAAGGGGTGAGGGTGGAGGGGAAAGGGAGAGTTTTGCTTTCTCCTTTTCCCCTTTGTTGCTTCTCCCTTCAGCTGCCATCTGGGCAGGTCCCCCTGCACACACCCTGTATCTTTCCATGTGTTTGTCTTTTACTTGGCCCTCTGATCCTTACACAGGCCATTGTGTCTCATGGCTTCTTGCCATTTTGCTTCCCTGCTCACACTGCCTGCCTAACTGCTCCCCCTTTCCAGCCCTGCTCTGACTACTCCCTTCCCACTGGTGAGTCCTGCTGATGATGGGCAGCTCTGGTTCCCAGTGACCAGGATTTTGGTGTATTGCAGTTCATGCTGCAGTTTATCTCTCGCTGCCTGGCAGCTACCAACAATAGACAATACAGGCTCCTTTTTTGTGTTACAGAGGTTTTCACAAGTGTCCAGGCTCTTGGGGCTTCAAAGCTGTAGGTACACGTGGAAGGAGGATTGGTGGGTCTCCTTTCTCCAGTCTCTCATTGGGACCACTGAAGCAAAGGATGGTTACATTTACGCAGACCGAAAAAGGTTCCCTTAACGCTTGCCTGCACCTTTTGAACAGTTTGCTCATAATTGCAGCTGCTGCCCAGGAGGCAGCACCTCAAAATCCTGAGTTCAAGACGAGGTGTGGTGCGTCTCTGTACTGGGGCAGTTACCGGTCTTCTCACTGGGTCGATCTTCTTTTGTTAATGCTGTCCTGATCTTTTCAGGGCTGATGTGAGAAATGCTCAGCCCACGTTAATACATTCTAGATGCTTTTTTTTTTTTTTTTTCCTGACAGTTAATACCCATTTTATTCGGGTTAAGATATATATCAGGAAAGAGCTCATTAGGAAAGAGCATGTTCTGGTTTTCTCTTGTATCTCTACGTAGTCTCTTCATGTTTCTGTTTGGATGACCGCACATTTTTGTTCTGTATAGTTCTGTTCATTTTATGTGAAATCTCTTTACTTTCTTGCCTGCCAAAATCTACACATAATGGTTAATATTTTGCTTTATACTACAAACTGAATGGGCAGTTCTGCAGCCTGCAAAGCCAGGCAGCGGTACTAATGGCTTCAGGTGAGGACAAAACCAGCTTCCTGTGATCTCCCATAACACTCTGTCCCAATTACAAGAAGCTGCTCAGAAATGAGGCCAACATGGAAGAAAGAAAAAAATAGGAATAGCATAGGAAAAAACTCAGGTACTAAATGTCCTTCATTCATAAGCCTTTCTTTTGTAAGAGATAGCAGAAGAATCAAAGGCTGAGGGCTTCTGGTGTGGTTTTCTTCTGCAGCTCAAAATTTTCTGTCAAGTAGAATCAGGCTCAAGCTATCAGCATAAGTCAATTGCTTGATGGTGATGACTTTCCAATGAAAGTGAAACAGAACTGTGACTTCTCTTACTTTGTGGTGGCCTTTAGTGGTCTCTCATTCAGTCCTAAATAAACTCTTGTATGTGCATATACAGGACCCTCAAGGAAAAGGAACAGAGATTCAGATTTAGTCATAGGGCCCTAATTTAATTGACAGCTACTCCTGGTGGAACTGAAAGCCTCATTTATACATACTTTATAAATAAAAGTATTAAACTTATTCTTAAGAGTCCATTTACTTTGGTGGTCTAAAGGATATACGTGTTGTTCAGTGCCTTGTGTTCTCCACTGGTAATTATTTTAGCCGTGTATAATATTTGGAAATGAGCAATCAATCCTAATGAAGCACCCTCATCAGCGAGAAGCAGAATTAATGCTATTCTTTTACTAATTACTCCAGAGACATCCCCAGCTTGTGTGTGAGAAAACAAGTAAAATCTGAATTCTGGCATTTGAGGTGAAGGCTTTTCTGTTCTTGTTGCATACCCATTTTTCTACTGAAGATATTGTGAGAAGGTTGAAGGACAAATTAAGATATACTGGGCTTGGCTAATGAAGAGTGATTAAAACAGTGGTTTAATGGTCTGGTAGCTCTGTTCAAGAAGACTGCAAGGGGAGATGTGATCTTGTGAAGGGTTCAGGTACGCATCTAAAAATGCAGAAGTGCCTCTTATGTCTTAAGATATATATATATGTAAGTGTATGTGTACATATGTATATTTATTTAATAGAAACATATTTTATATAAACATATTATAAAATCACTACAGGCGCAGTCAGCAGCAAAAAAAAAAAAAAAGAAATATTTTAAATACAAAACTTGAGGAAAGAAAAGCTTCCTTTGAGTCTGACCACCTTCTTGCTGTGAACTTATCCCAAAGCTCTTCAATAAAGGCATGGAGACTGACTTGCAGGGTTTGGCAAAGGACTTAATACAGGTTTTAGAAACGGAAAAGAAACATTCCTCACCTCTGAAAGCATTTGTGAACCATCTCAAACATCTATCTGCCTGTGCCAAGACAAAGATTGGCCTTCCCCTCGATAAGAAATGCACATAAACGAGCAGGCCTAAAATAAACATGTAAGAGCACAATTAATTTTGGGGAGAATGAAAAGAAAAAATCTGTTTTAAAGGTGACAGGAAGAGAGAATTGCCTCTAGCAAATATAAATCACACAACCTTGGCATGGTTCTTCTCAAGGCTGAGGTACTGCGGGACGGGACAGTGCAGGAGCAGGGCCAGAGCCAAGAGCAGACTGCAGAGCAGCCACTGGGAGTGGTGCCACCGCTGCTGCAGAAGATGCTCCATGCTTTGCCTCATGCCATCTCCCATGCTCTTGATGATGCTGCCTCCAGAGGGAACATCCCTGTCACAGCACTGGGTGTGGAAGTGCCCACACAGCACTAGAAGACAGGCAACCCTGGGAGAAAAACATGATCCTTAACCGTTTTGATGCCATTGTTTCCCTGCTCTGCATTTGCTGTTGGCCAGTCACCTCCTGGTGAGCCTTCTGCTGGTTTTCAGGTACGATTATTATTAGACAATGTTCATGGACAGAATTTCTTTCATCATTTTAATTCTCCAATATCCACATGCAGAACCCAGGCATTTAGGACAACACTTGCAGTCCCCTTCGTTAAAAATGTAGGAGAAGCTGAAATAATCACCTGGGACCAAGTTTAATTGGACTGCTGGGGTAAAGCCCCCAGATTATCATAAAATCTTTAATGGCCAAAAGTAACAAGAAGTCTGGTCATATCTGATTTGATAGACAACATACCCCAGTAGTGTAAAGCTCCTTTTGATCGTGATTCATTAAGCTGTTACTTCTCACCAGCACATAAAGTTTTCTGAAATTAATTAGATATTTTCCATTCAAACAACTGAATTGCCAGTAACCCATAAAGTCCCTTAAAACAGCAGAGAACAAAATATATGCCACTAAGCTGGGATCTCAGCAACACCTGAGTGTATTTGAGCCCAAATTTAGCCTAATATTACAGTAGGGTGTA